ATATATATATATATATATATATAAAGATAACTAAATATAAATATACATACAAAAATATACATATATATATATATAAATTATTATTGGAAGTTTATATATACACGGACATTCACTCACTATATATATATATATATATATATATGTGTGTGTGTGAGACAGATATATATATATATATATATATATATATATATATACATATATATATACATATATACATATATACACATATATACATATATATATACACATAGATATATATATATGTAATATATACACCTATACATATATACAAATATATACAGATACTTGTATATACATATACACATATACACAGATATATCATACATACACATACATATATACATATAGGCATGGAACAAGTATTATAGTTATCTTTTGAGTGCTAGCGGAATATCGCGTAGATTGAGTTTGGTCGATTTATTTTCATAACTATAGACTGGATTTAGGTAGCATCTCCAATAACGACGCATCTTGGATAAGCGACAAATTTAATTATGTATTTTCTATAGGATTTCCACGACCAATCACTGTTCACATGATATAGTTACATACCAGTAGATGTAACATATTCGTGTGCGATCCAATAGAGCGTGCGCTTCGTATAAATTACTTATAACACTTTGCGCAAGGAGTCATGGCATCTACTGAACTCACAAGAGTGGGCGGCGTAGTGCCTTTCTGACCACAAGCAACTCCACTGGCGTCACTATCCACTTTGCGGTGATATTTCTTCCCGTTTCCAATCTTATACCGGGCTTCAGCTATATTAAGCTCAACAACATCTCGACCTGAGGTATTCAGCGCTACCTGATTATTCTCCGCGTTGACCACTGTCGCCCTTGTGGCCTGCCTCGAGCGAGTGTTCGGGTACGAATCGGTCCACTCAGGCAGTACAGGGACGTGTACCTGAACGCTCTGATCGGCCCCTTCAACAGTTGATGCAGATATCGCAGCAGCCCTCGCACTGTGTGCCCGTGTGTTAGGGTATGTAATGCTGCTTGTTGTAGAAACTGAAGATGGATAGCATTCTGAGCAAGGTTTCATCGTTCCCGTTGATGTCACCTCGATAGGCAATGTACTGCCTGTCGAGCCACACGTCACTCCGTCATCGTTGATGGAAACTTTGCGATGGTACGGTTTTCCCTTTCCGATGCTATAGATGACTGAGGCTACATCATGTACCGCCATAACACCGTTTGCAAAGGAATTATCCCCTACAACACCCGTCGGTTCTCTACTGTTCGTACTTGAACGTGTGCTAGGGTAAGCATTAGACACCTGGAGCGGGTTCCGGTCGCTCGACTGTGTGTTGCGAACGAGACCGCTCGTAAGCTCTGTATTGGTGAGAGTAGATATCGTACCATTGCTGGCAATAAGTGCTTGTGTGCTGGGATTTGAAGTGCTTTGTGATTCTATAAAGTTAACATAATAACATTTTGAACAAGGCTTCATCGCACCCATCGATGTCACCTGAACAGGCGCTTTGCTGCCTCTCTGACCACACACCACTCCTTGACTGTCAATGGTGAGTTTGCGGTGATACGTATTCCCTCTGCCGATTCTATACTTGGCCAAAGCTATATCTTGTACACCTTTGTTCTTAACTGCAATAGACAAATTATTCCTCGAACGGTGTGCTCGAGTGTCTGGGTATGCTATGCTTTGTTCTTCAATGGAGGCTATATCATAACAATTCGAGCATGGCTTCATCGCGTCGAAAAACCGAACAGCCGCCGTACCGCCTCTCTGACCGCATGCAACTCCACTATCGTTAACCGATAATTTACGGTGGTATGATTTCCCTTTTCCTATCTTATATTTAAATAAGCTTGTATCTGTTGAATCTTGTGCACCTGATATGTCAATTGCATTCCTGGTGCTCTGTGTAGTGTTCGTCAGTGCCGTTCCGGCCTGATCCGAGGGTGTGATCGCAGGATTAACGTCGTTGCCAGGCAGCGTGGGATAGCATCGCTGGCAGGGTTTAAGCTTTAATTGCACAGCTTCATCCGCACTCATACAGGAGGTCCAACCCTTGCCACAGCTGGTTAGATGTTCGCCCAGGGCATTCTTTTTATGGCTATGGTAGCTTAGGTTCGTCCCAACGCGGTATACCCGTACATCGTGTAGACCTGCATGATTTGAGTACACCTGAACAACAGCGCCTGTATTACTCTGAATAGAGTCTATACCTCCCTGTACAACTTGATCGCTCGTCCCATTAAATGTACTGGAAACTGGATGTCGACCAACACCAGCTGAATTGAATATTATGACAGCTGCGTCGTCATCTACATCAACCGACACACCAGACTTGCTTCCGCCTGCTCTGTGACCATTGCTGGTGAAAATGGCTTCATCGTCCGATAACGTGGGAATCAAATATTGTCCTGTCTCCATTTCTACGTATTTCTATTTACCACTTATTGTACTGGATTGTATATGTCCTCGATGTATATGTCCTCGAACGCACCCGTCATGTTCCAAGAACGTGTTATTGTGTAAATACAGATTTTTATCAGCTACTTAAAATAACAAGCGATGCTTTCGAAGTGTGACACTTATAGGGATGGTTACAAGTTTCATAAATATTTATTTATGATGCAACATTGCAAACAGACAACGTGCACCATTTCAAGCAGTCACGCACTCGGTTCAAATGTGGAGCCCTTGAATTGCGAATTTGTTTTATTATATGTTTTTAAAAAAATAAATATTATACACCTCCCCTTAGGCTCCCGGGTCTCCCCCAAAAAAGAGAATGCGGTATTTTGTATATATCAGGACCAGCCACCAGCCTCCAGGTAAAACCATACTAGATAAATAAAAAGTATTCCTTACTATTTAGTATTTATGTATACATTTCAAAAAAAAACATGAATGCCACGTATTTACTTTACTCTGGAGCATTTTGTATTTGAGACATTAAAATTAAAAAAATTCTTGAATCTCAGGCTGAAATAAACGTGCAAGAATACTGAGAGTGAGAGCAGTGTAGCATTTAAAAAAAACCCATCGTTCAATGATATTCGCTTTCAAAGTTCCAAATACGCAACCCGCAGATGGAAAATCTGATTGTATTTTAGATTTAAAAAAAACCCCCAAAATGTACATTCTGTACATAACAACGATCAAACATGTGAGCTTTTTTATTTATGTATTTTTTTAAATATATATGTTTGTTTCTTGGTTAAATTTTTAATCAGCAGCAAGTATTTTTGTTTTTTTTTAAACAAATATAAGAAGTTTAATTTACATATTTTTGTTTTTTTTAAACAAACATTGGTTGAATATTTACATATTTATTTATGTAAATATGATGATTTTGTTTTGTTGTTTGTTTTTTTGATTTGTTTACAAAAAAAACAAATATTCCAGACAACATCAAATATAAAATATTGGACGGCAAAGGGGCCCGGGGATATATATTTTTTACTACGGTTGACCCAGAGATTAAAAAAAAATCTATTTCATTGGAGGTTATATGAATCAAATTCTTCGTCTTGACGAGAAAGAAACGTATCCTTTTTAAAATCCCATCCCGATCGGACTATTGGTTCAGAAGTTATGAAAAAGCACAGTTTGTTCCAGAACTGGTCAAATTAGGCGCGCGTAGACATATTATACAAGTCCATTTATAGTTCCATACTCAACAGACCTTTCTGGCATCATAGCATATTGTAATGGTACTACTTTAATGTCATGGTCTATATATACGCTTATAGCGAGTCTAAACGTGTATATCGGCGAGCTCATATTCTCATTGGTATAAAACTACATTTCTCCAACCCTAAATGCCTCACTGCGTACAACTTATGATACACTATTATCGAAATCAGTGTAGTCAGAATTGTATCAAATACACATATTTATACAATTGTAACAAAGACTAGAAGTAGTAGTATTATCTTATACAATTGTAACAAAGACTAGCAGTAGTAGTAATATCTTATACAATTGTAACAAAGACTAGCAGTAGAAGTATTGTCATGCGCTCTCGTCTGTTCTTTAACTAATCGATATAATATATATATATATATATATATATATATATTTAGATATATATATATAACGTATCTATATAAATACATGTTTATACATATA